GGTAGGCCATAAGGAAACACTCCTTCCTTCTTCCTGGACTCCCATAGGTACAGCGCAGAGACGGACCGCTCAAGGAGTGTCCCATCTCCCTCCTGAAACAGTCCAGTGGCTGGATCATGAATTCTTAGTGCCTTCCAGATTTTCTCTCTTTCACTAGTTTTCCCCTTACCTAGATTTTTGTCCATGCCTCATCTGTGCTGGGAATATCCTAGAATCCTCTGGGAAGAGCCTAGCTACCAGGAAAAGGGTCCTCCTGACCCAGCTCTCACAAGATTCCAGAATATGGCCCTGATACCACCTAGTCTCCATGTCTCTAAACAAACAATACTATCCAGACCCAAACCGGGAAGTCAGGCTGGTTCAGTTTGCTCCTGACCTGTGAGATCCTACCCTTGGTCAGCAGGGCTACCACGAGGAAGGCAGAATTAATGGACCTTGAGTTGTTCTGGGGCAGGAGGCTTGATAGCAGTGGGCTTCAGCCTAACCCTAGGATCCATGCACAAAGAATGAGAGGAACCTGAGGCCCAGAGATCAGGTGACATGCCTGAAGGCACACAGTAAGGATTTGCACATTCACCCCAGGTTGGGTAACCAATGAGGCATGCTCCTTACTGGCTTACCTCTTCCATGGAAGGGTTGAGGCTGAGGAGAATTAGAGGGTGCTTCCTCTGGTTTATTTTCCCTTTTGTCTGCACACATGGTCTTCTCTGAGCTTCCTGTACCCAAAAGGACAGGCTAACCCCAGTATGAGGTGGTATGGAGGTGGGGACAGGCCAGATCAAAACCTTGCTTCCTTAACCCTCCCTCAAATTACTTAACACGAGCCCATATCCAAAATGTCCTTTCTAACACTCTGTTACTGAGATGCCCCATCATATCCGTCTTCAACCCCATGTCAAGTGAGAAGACTGGGGGGAAAAGTGATGCTACTTCCTCATCACCTACCAGAGCTGGGGTGGTTCCTGGGATCTTCTCTCCTTGCATTGAACAGAGGAGAAAAGTGAGGCCCAGGAACCTGTGAATCTTTGTTTTTTGGGTGTTGTTTTTTTTTTTTTTGTCCTCACCTGAGGACAGTTTTGCATTTATCTTCAGATAGAGCAGGAGGGAGAGAGGAGGGAAGAGAGAGAGAGAAACATCGATGTGAAAGGGACACATCGAGTGGTTGCCACCTGCACGACCCAACCAGGGCCGGGGACCAACTGCAACTGAGGCACGTGCTCTTAGCGGGAACCAAACCTGGGTCTCTCTGGACCGCAGGCCAATGCTCTAACCACTGGGGAACCGGCCAGGGCATACTCTGACTGTTTTGAAGGAGGTAATAGTTCAAGCAGAAAAAAAAGTTTTTTAAATTTATTTTTTAGAGAGAAAGGAAGGAAGAGATAGAAACATTGATTGGTTGCCTCCCGCACGCCCCCGACTGAGGATCAAGCCTACAATCCACGCATGTGCCCTGACCAGGAATTGAAGAAGGACCTCTCAGTCCATGGGATGACACTCAATCCACTGGGCCACACAGGCTGGGCCATGACTGCTTTCAATACCCTCCAATTAAAGACCCCCAGAAACACACCCATGGTTGAACAAGTTGGTTTTATTACTTGTTACAGTGGGGGGGCGGGTATATGAACCATGAAGAATGATGAGACATCTCAGTAATGGAGTGTTACAAAGAACATTTATGATTAAATTGGGGGAGGGTTAAGGAAGCAGGGTTTTGATCTAGATTGGATACTGTCTATGACTGGGTATTTTGATAAATCCTATCTAGAATGAGGAAGAAGTAACCAAGACTACAGCTGTATTGGTAAATAAGTAGTAATCTCTATATGAGCCCAGATAGGAAAGTGTTTGGTCTTTTTTTTTTTTTTTTAAGATTCTATCTTTATTGATTTTAGAGAAAGAGGAAAAGAGAGGGAGAGAGAGATAGAAACATCAATGAGAGAGAACATCGATTGGCCGCCTCCTGCATGCCCCCAACTGGGGATCAGGCCCACAACCTGGGCATGTGCCCTGACTAGGAATTGAACCCATGAACTCTTGGTGCATTGGTCGATGTACAACCACTGAGCCACACCGGCTGGGAGGTCATTTTTGTGGTTTGGACAATGTTCATGTTTTGTCTGGTTCAGACATGATTATGGAAGATTATGGAAAGGTCTTGTTATTGTCTTGATTCATCACAGTCACAGAGTGGCCTTATGTGATATTGATGTTCTGTGACATTTTTATATTCAACAGAATACTAAGGCCTACGTGTTAGCGTCAGACTGGCTCCTGGATATCAGGGACTACTTTTCTTTTTATCAGAGCCTGGACTCAAATCCATGTTTGTGTGACTGGAAACATACCCTGTGTTACTCCCTGTCCACAGGAACCTGAGAAGAGGGCTGGTAGATGAGGAATTTCATATATGAGTTTATTTCATCTACTACCTTCACCCCCTACTCAGAACCAACCCTTAATAAAATCCCTGAAATAACTGTAGGCATTTAATTAATGTTTGTTGAGCCCCGTCGGTGTGGCTCAGTGGTTGAGTGTCGACCCATACACCAAGAGGTCATCGGTTCGATTCCCGGTCAGGGCATATGCCTAGGTTGTGGGCCCGATTCCCAGTGGGAGGCATGCAGGAGGTGGCCAATCAATGTTCTCTCTCATCAATGTTTCTATCTCTCTCTCCCTCTCCCTTCCCCTTTCTCTAAAATCAATAAAAAAAAGAAATAATAAATGTTTGTTGAGTTAATGAAACAATGAAGATGGGTGTCAGGAATTCCAGAGAACAACTTTGTGGGTGAAAATTGCAGCTCCACCATCTATCAGTATATGATTTGAAAACTTTTAATTAACTAGTAAAATTGTGTAAACTTTTATAATTTTTTTTTTTTGATCCTCACCCGAGGACATTTTTCCATTTTTTGTACAGATAGAGTGGGAGGGAGAGAGAGAAAGAGAGAGAGAGAGAAACATCGATGTGAAAGGGACACATCGAGTGGCTGCCACCCACACGACCAACCAGGACCGGGGACAAACTGCAACCGAGGTACATGCCCTTAGCGGGAACCGAACCCGGGTCTCTCTGGACCGCAGGCCGACGCTCTAACCGCTGAGCCAAACTGGCCAGGGCAACTTTTATAATTTTTAATATAATTTTATATATATATATATGCATCTTTTTCTGAGTCATCTGAAATTAAGTTGGAGACATTGTGCCCTTTTACCCCTAAATACTTCAGTGAATATGTCCTAAGAATATTTCTTAACATAACCACAATACAATGATTAATTTTAGAAAATTTAACATTGATATAATATGCTAATCCACAATCCATATTCAAATTTCATCACTTCTCTCAGTATTGTCCATTATACCTATTCCACCCCTCCAGGATTCAATTTAGAATCACATACCAGCCCTGGCCGGTTTGGTTCAGCGGTTAGAGCATCGGCCTGCGGTCTAGAGAGACCCGGGTTTGGTTCCCGCTAAGGGCACGTACCTCGGTTGCAGTTTGTCCCTGGCCCTGGTTGGTCGTGCGGGTGGCAGCCACTTGATGTGTCCCTTTCACGTCGATGTTTCTCTCTCTCTCTCTCTCTTCCTCCCACTCTATCTGTACAAAAAATGGAAAAATGTCCTCAGGTGAGGATAAAAAAAAAAAAGAATCACATACCATATTTTGTTGTCATGCCTCTTTAATCTCCTTTAAACCAGAATGGTTCCTCAGCCTTTTAATGTCTTGATACTGATAGTTATTTTAATGTCATGATACTGATAGTTATTTTGTCGAGTGTTCCTCGATTTCAGGTTATTTCACGCTTCCTCATGAGATTTGAGTTATGCATTTTGTTTTTTTTGGGTTTTTTTGTTTGTTTTTGTTTTTTGTTTTTTTATTCTCACCCGAGGACACCTTTTCATTTTTTGTTCAGGTAGAGTGGGAAGGAGAGATAAAGAGAGAAACATCGACGTGAAGGGACACATCGAGTGGCTGCCACCCACACGACCAACCAGGGCCGGGGACAAACTGCAACCGAGGCACGCGCCCCCAGCGGGAACCGAACCCGGGTCTCCCAGGACCGCAGGCCGACGCTCCAACCGCTGAGCCAAACAGGCCAGGGCTTGAGTTATGCATTTTGGACATAAATATCACAGCAGAGATGTTGTGTCCTCAGTGCACCTTATTAGGAGGCACATGATCTCTAGTTGACCTATAACTGATGATGTTAACTTTGATTACTTTGATTCACCCGTTCTGTAAAACTATGCTTCTGTAAAACTATTATTTCCCCTTTGTGATTACAAGTAAATTATGGTAGACAATTTTACTATATAAAACATCCTATTCCTCTAGTTTTACCAGTCATTACTGATTTTCTCCATATGTTTGTTAGTTGGCATTCTCCATTTATTTATCCACTTTATTTTTATCCTCACCCGAGGACATTTTTCGATATTTTGTTCAGATAGAGTGGGAGGGAGAGAGAGAAACATCGACGTGAAAGGGACACATAGAGTGGTTGCCACCCACACGACCCAACCAGGGAGGGGAGACACTGCAACCGAGGTACGTGCCCTTAGCGGGAACCGAACCCGGACCGCAGGCCATGCTCTAACCATTGAGCAACCGGCTAGGGCTATTTATCCACTTCTTTATTTATATCAGTCAAGACTCATGGGTTACCATTTTGTTCAACTACTTAAACTCTGTTACTATCATTACCTATTTTGATGCTCAAATTGCCTAGATATGGCCAATGGAATCTCCTTCAAGTTAGCTCTTGTGTCCTCTGACATTACTGTTATTCAGATTCCCATCATCTTTATATTCTGGTGGTAGAAGATGTTCCTAGTTTGGTAATTCCCCTGCCCCGGCCGAGGCTCTTTGAAAAGCTTTCACACGGGCCCTAAGTTTCTCCCCGTCCTACTCGCAGGCGGAACCTTAGAGCCCGGACACAGTCCGGACAACAGCGCAGCGAACGAGCCTCTTCCGGTTGCGGCCGGAAGTATCTGGAGAGGGCGGCTCTACGTCAGGAGATCGGAGTCCGCGTAGGAGGGATTTGAGGTCCTGCGAAGAGACTGACTGGGCGGACACACTGGCGGAGCGGTCGACACACAGAGGCTGGGTCGGCCTTGGCAGCGTTAGCGGAGCAGCAGCAGGTACATAAAGGTCTGGTGGGGGTGGAGGACTGGTAGGGGCCTATGGAGGTTGAGGGGCGGGGGACCGGGTTTCTCCGTCACTGGGCCCATGGGCTGGGACACCTGAGCCCAGGGTCGCAGAAACAGCACTCCTGGTTCTGCCCCGGGACCATTTCTTCATTACAGAGGTCCGGCTGGCGTTGTGGTTCTTGTCCCACGGTTTCTTGGGAAGACTGAGGCCCCGAGAAGAGAAAAGGCTTCTCATGGACTCAGTCTAACTCTTTCTGTACCCCCGCTCGAGGCTGCTTCTCGTACTTTTAATGACTTTGCCCCGAGTGGAGAAGCTGAGGCCGGGAAGCTTGGTGAACAGAGCAGGGCTTGGGAGTAAGCGACCCGGTTTCGAGACTTCGCCGCCAACAGCCATTTGTATGTTCTGGGCCAAATCCCTTCACTGTGTTGGACCCGTTTCTTCATTTGTAAAACAGAATAGTGTTTCTCAAAATACCAATCTCGCACCATCTGCTCTGAAATGCCCTGGGAATGCAGGCTTTACCATAAGGATTCAAATGAGACCTCATATTTAGAATCTGGGTCGGAACCTGGGAAGCTGCGTTTTGAACGTAAGCCTCGGGGGTCCCATATTGATGTTTGAAGCCCACTGATTTTAAGTGCTTTCCTGCTGTGAGTACTAGATTTGCATTGAGGCAGCTGGAGCCTAATTAGGATCTTTGAAAGAATTTGGATGTTTATCCCAGAAAAGAGAGCAATGGAAGGGAACTGTGCTTAAAAACTGAAAAAGGTGTTAAAGAGGGCTTCCCCTTCATTTTCGGATTTGAAAGAGGCAGAACCGGGACCAATAGGTGGATTCTACAGGAAGCCAAGATTTTTTATTAAATAGAAGAACTTAATGCTGGTTAGAGGTGACCAGCAATGGAATTGCCTCCAAAGGTAGTGAACTCCCTGTTGAAGGAGGTATACAGGTATCAGATGGCAGTCCTTTCCAACTTGAAAACCTCTGATTCTGAGTAGTTATTTTGAATTTTTCCGGTGCTGACCGACTTTTTTCTGCCCTCTTCTTGACACGTCCAACCTGCATCCTGTGGAAGTAAGGCCAGTGGGTCCGAATGTAATAATCTCTTCCTGGTTGTCCTGGGAACAATCCTTTTCAAGCACTTTGGAATAGCCCATTTGATAAGGGCTCTTTAAAATGTTTGTTGAATGAATAACCAAGCAGGGTTCCCACCCCATAGGTTTGTAGTTTCTCTTTTTAGAACAACTTGGAAATGCCTCTGAAGACTGTGTTTGATCAGGAGAAGCCAGTGTGAACTCTTTGGGTCACAGAATTAAGCAGTCTTAGTCAGAAGGGTCCCTTGAGGTTGTTCAGGCCAGCCTTTTCTCCTGGGACATAAATCCCTCTTTAATCTTCTCTTCAGCACTATGTTGTATTGATGGTGTGTCTGTCAAGGAAATTTTTGCACTCTGTCAGCTAGCATTCTATCCAACATTTAAAACCAGTCCTTTTATGGATTTGACTTGCTAGTTCATCCTCACAGATAATCTACAGATAGTTCTTCTAATGTATCTTTAGTTTTCTAGTCAAATATCAAAACTCCTTTCTTTGTGATTTGTAAAACTTCAAGCAGATCGCTTTTTCAAAACCCATTAGAATGCTTACGTTGCCCTATGGAACAAAGATTTCATATTATGACCCAGTTCTGCTGACAAGCTTACTGCCCCCCAAAAGTTTGGGTTTCAGCCAAGACTTCCTGTCTGTGTTTATCTTCCTGCCTTGTGTGTGTTTCCTAGAATTAAAAAAAAAAATTTTGTTGAAATGCTTATTCAGATATCATCCAGGTCTGCTGGATAAAATGATTTTAACTTGGTGGTGGTGGTGTTAAAACTTCTCAATCTGAACATTTCTTTTAAAAAAAGTAACAAATTGGCATTTACGTAGTGTGTTTTTCAAACCACTAGTCTGAAGAGATTCCTCTGAAAAAAGTGTTCTATGGTAATAATAAGTTTGGAAAAACTTGCATATCATTAGCCCTTTTTGGAGCTTCTCAGTTTATAGTACCACATTAAAGACACTGAGACATCCTGTAGTAAAGAAATGTGCCTAACCTTGTTTAATCTAGTGTTGCCAAATTTAATTGATGTGAAGCACTTTTTTTAAACTGAAGCACACATTGGCAAAATCTGACCTAGCGCAGAAGTCTGCAGTCTATGGACTGTGATCCAAATTTGGCCCCCTGGCCTAGGAGCTGGGAATGTCTTTTGCGTATTTAAATGGTGGGAAGTAAATCAAGCGAAGAATAATATTTTGTGATATATGAAAATTATAGGAAAATCACATTCCAATGTCTGTCCATAAGTCAGGTTTTATTGGAGCACAGTCATTCTCCTTTATGTATTGTCTTCAGCAGCAGAGTTGAGTCATTGCCCCAAAGACCATATAGTCCACAAAGACAAAAGTTTTTACTGTATGGTGTTTTACAGAGAAAAACTTGCCAGCCCCTGACCTGCATCACATACATTTTTTTGTTTTGGTTTGTTTTGGTTTATCCTCACCCGAGGACTTTTTTTTTTTTTTTTTTTTGCATTTATCTTCAGATAGAGCGGGAGGGAGAGAGGGAGGAAGAGAGAGAGAGAGAAACATCGATATGAGAGAGACACATTGAGTGGTTGCCACCCACATGACCCCAGTCGGGGCCGGGGACAGACTGCAACTGAGATAATGTGCCCTTAGCGGGAACCGAACCCGGGACTCTCTGGTTTGTGGGCCGATGCTCTAACCACTGAGCAAAACTGGCCAGGGCTTAAATTTATTTTTTAAATATGTTTCTTTATTGATTTTAGAGAGAGAGGGAGAGAGAGAGAAACATCAGTGAGAGAGAACATTGATTGGCCGCCTCCTCTATGCCCCCCACTGGGCATTGGGCCCACAACCTTTGCATGTGCCCTGACTAGGATTGGAACTGGCAACCTCTTGGTGCATGGGTCGATGCTCAACCGCTGAGCCACATCAGCCGAGCATTTTTTTTTTTAACTTTTTATTTTGAAGTAATTTTAGACTTACAAAAAGAATACACAAACTATCTGTGTACTCTTCACCCAGCTTTCCCTAAAGTTAACCTTTTACACAATTATATTAAAATTAAACAGGAATTTAACATTATTATAATACTACTACTTGATTCAAAATTTGCCACTTGTCTCACTAATGTCCTTTTTCTGTTCCAGGATCCAATCCAGTTTCCCACATTGCACTTAGTTGTCAAGTCTCCTTGTTTTTTTCCATCTGAGACAGTTCCTCTGCCTCTTTGGTTTTTCATGACCGTAAACTTTTGAAGAGTGCTAGCTAATTATTTTGTAAAGCATCTCTCAGTTTTTTGAAGACAGACTTTACATTTGATAAAACTCACCGTTTTAAAAGTGTACAATTAGTATATTTTAGTATGTTTGCAAAGTTGTACAACCATCACCGCTCTCTTAATTCCAGAACATTTTCATCACCCCCAAGAGAAACCCTGTACACATTAGCAGTCACTCCCTATTCTCCACTATTCCCATCTCCTACCAACCACTAATCTAGAATTACACAGTATGTGGCCTTTCGTGTCTGGTTTCTTTCATTAAGCATGTTTTCAAGGGGCATCCATGCTATAGCATGTATCAGTACTTCATTCTGTTTTATGGCTGAATTATATGCCATTGTATGGTTATACCACATTTTATTCATCACTTAATGGACATTTGGGTTATTTCCATATTTTGATGATTATGATAATAGTGCTGATATGATAATTCATGTGTAAGTTTGTTTTTGTTAATCCTCCTGAAGATATTTTTCCATTGAGTTTTAGGGGGGTGGGGAGAGAGAGAGAAACATCCCTGTGAGAGAGAGACGTTGATTGGCTGCCTCCCACATGACTCAGACTGGGGCCGGGAATCAAACCTGCAACCCAGGTACGTGCCCTTGACTGAAATTGAACCCAAGACCTTTCAGTCTGTGGGTTGATGCTCTAACCGATGAGCCAAACCAGCCAGGGCCAAGTTTGTTTTTTTTAATCCTCACCCAAGGATATGTTTTTATTGATTTTTAGGGGAGGGGGAGAAACATCTACTGGTCACCTCCTGCACATGCCCCCTGAACAGGAATCGAACCCTCAACCTAGGTATGTGCCTGATTGGAATTGAACCCACAACCTTTTGGTGTACAGGATGATGCTCCAGCCAACTGAGCCACCCAGCCAGGGCTATGTACAAGTTTTTTAACATATTTTTAGTTCTCTTAGATATGTATGCTTAGGAGTGGAATTGCTGGGTCATATGGCAATTTCGTGTTTAACTTTTTTTTTCTTTTTAATTTAATTAATTTATTTTTGTTACAGATGTTTCTCTTTTTTCCCCCATTGACACCCTCCTCCCACTTCCCCCACCCCATCAGCATTGTTGTCTAGGTCCATTGGTTATGCTTATATGCATAAATTCTTTGGTATCTCTTTCCTCCCCACTCATGTTTAACTTTTTAAGGAACTATTTTCCACGGTAGCCGTACCAATTTACATCTCCATTAGCAATATCTGATGTTTCAATTTTATCTACATCCTCTTCAATACCTGTTATTGTCCTTTTTAAAAATTATTTTTATATTCACTAGTAGATGTGAAGTAGCTTCTCATTGTAGTTTTTATTTGCATTTTCATAATGACTGGTATTAAACATCTTTTCATGCTCATATTGGCCATATGTATATCTTCCTTGAAGAGATGTCTATTCAAATCCTTCACCCATTTTATAATTGAATTATTTGTCATTATGTACAATTTTGCATGTAAATATTCAAAGAGTTGCAGATTCCCTGATCTGAGTGGAGTTAGTTTTGGAAATGCTGAAGTGCAGAGTAAGTTGTCTGCTTGAATCTGCTGACCATAGAGAACTTGGCTCAACCTCAACCATTGCTAACCATGCAGAACTGGGGTGGCCATGGTCAAGTGAATCCAAGATGTCATAAGACCAAT